GGTAATGGTGCAGGAGTGCTCATTCATAGTGTAGTAGGTCACAATAACTCATTTCCAAAGGTCAAGCAAACAGACAAACAACAAAAACAAAAAAAAAACATTATAAAAGTGATACCTGGTCCAGTACTGTCTCTTCACTAAGCATTGGACACATTGGTGGTAAAGATCTATGGTTGTGCTGATAATCATGAATACTAATTGTGAAAGCTACATATGCTGCTGCTTGGGGACTATGCTCCCCAGGATTGACCTGATCCATAAAGACCAGCCATAAAATGTAAAGCCAGCTGATCTTGGTTATTGAGAGCTTAAACCCAACATCAACCAACATTAACCTTTTACAAAGTATACATACGTATATATATATTTAATGAAAATTTTTCCTTAATAAAAATGCTCTTTATTAAGTTGTTTCAGAACTTAGATTAGTTGATATTTGGCTGTGCACAAAGTGTCTCATATAATGGGCTAATGTAAGGAAAATAGGTGTTGGGGGTGATACAAGATCTCATGCTGGACAAAAGCTGTTTTTTTATGTGAAATTTAGACTGTACACTGTTCTCTACCAGGGTCACCCAGTACACTCCATATCAAGCAGAGATTGCTCAGGGTAGGCTGGAAAGTCTTCTTAACTACCAGACCATGATTTGTGACATGACAGGCCTGGATGTTGCCAATGCCTCTCTGCTGGATGAGGCTACAGCTGCTGCAGAGGCCATGGGGCTGTGTTACAGGTAATGACTAATGTTATCTGTTATACCTTGAATTTTTTGTACTATAGAGAATGATTATATGTTTTATTTTGTTCATGTCTTTATAATTTGGTTGAGGGGTAAGCCTATTTATTAGGCATAAAATGTATAAAAAATTTTGACGTGGAGTGTAATCTGTTAATAGGTAATGACTATATGTTATCTGTTATTACTTAAATTTTGTTGTACTATAGAGAATTATTATGTTTTATTTTGTCCACATGTCTTTAATTTGGTTTAGGGGTGAGCCTATTTATTAGGCAGAAAATATATTTTAAAAAATTAGATTTGGAGTGTAATCTGTTAATAAATCTTCAAATAGCTCCTTCAAGTGCCACCACATGCTGATATATTCTATATAGTCAGTATTCATCACAAGCAGATTTTGACCTACTTATATATATGTGTATATATACAGGTATATTAACTGTCAGATTTTGTATCAACTTTTCATTTTAGCACAATGGAAAAAAGGAGTTGGCATATGTTTGACCCCATGCATGGTGTAGCCTGATGTTTTATCTTAATAAGTAGACAACCATTGAATGTATAAACTACATGATTTTTTGTCTTATGGTTTTCTGTTATGTTAAACATATGATGAAATCATGAATTACAGATATAACCAGAGACAGAAATTCTATGTAGATGAAAGATGTCACCCCCAAACAATTGCAGTAGTTACAACAAGAGCAAGGTATGAGGATCCCATGGTAAAAAATGAGTTGCTCAGTAGTTTGTTGAATTATCTTTCGTGTAGATAAAAAATAAAGCATGAATTAGTTTCATGTATTATTATGCCTGACAGCTTACTCTATGTGGTATACATACATTATCCAATATTTAACATGGGAATGCATATAAGGTTGTGGCATACCTTAGTAGGATGGTTTTTATGTTCAGACACAGATGTGTCTGTACATATAGCCGTCATCTGCGTCTGTCGTTGCCGTCGTCGCCGTCGCCGTGCACTTTTACCGATAACACGATAAGTGGAAAACTGTTTTTTCTTTTTGTTTGAAACTTACAGAACTGATGAATATTCATAATATGCAGGTCGAGTTCGAAAATCAGCATGATCGGGTCACTTATAGGGAATTTATGCTGTTTTTTCACTTTTTTCAGCATATATGCAGCACCGATAACACGATAAGTGGAAAACCATTTTACCTTTTGGCTTGAAACTTACAGAACTGAT